CCGTCTTCTCCAACCATGGAATCAGATTAATGCTGACGTGCTCGGCAAACCTGACACAACTGCCGATTCGCTACCAGGCAAACAGCACGGCCATCCGGATGACAAGGCCCGAATGCATATACTACTTTTCAGGCTCAAAGCTCAGTTGCCTTCCAAGAAGCTGGTTGGTACTGCACACGTCCGGTTCTTGGCGGTGCAATATCATCCTGTCATGAGCTCTTGATACCCCGCATCTAGGCGAAAGGTTTGCGCTCAAGGGCGGGGACATCAGGTCAAGGATTGTAGTTTCTTCTGCGAGCAAGACCTCCGGATACGCATCACCTTCATCATAAGCATGTTGATCTTTTTGAAATCATCTCCGGCATCACTACTACATCAACACGTCATTGTCACACCACCATCATAGTCATCGTTGTTTGTTATCGCCATGAGGACTGAAGCAGCAGCAGCAGCAGCAGCAGCAGCAGCAGCAGCAGCAGCAGTAGCGGCAGCAATCACACCTGCACCTGCGCCAGCATCAGCACCAGCTCCATCAGCCAAAGCTTCAGCATCTGCATCACCTTCATCATCAGCAGCAGCAGCAGCAGCATCGTCATCATCATCGTCATCATCATCATCACCATCGACATCGGCAACGCCACTGCCACCGCTCATGAGCACCATCATCACAAAATCTCATCTTGGCCATGGTCATCAATAACATCATAGTCAACATGAACATCCTCGGCATCATCACTCCATCCACACAGAGGCCGCTTGTAGATCATAGGACTTCTGTCAAGGCCAACCAGATCACAAAGATCTCCTTGTGCTTTAGCTCCATCTTCGTCAACTGCCATCCCCATGATGGGAAGGATGACTTGCCACTTGCCCGTTGAGGTTGACTACAAATGCCGTGACACCAGCATAATTGCTTAAAGTTATACCGCGGGTTCACGCAACAACACACTGAACCCAAAGCCCCGAATCCCAACCCCCTTAACCGTGAACCCCGACCCAATACCTCACTTAACCGTAAAACTCCATGACTCCCTAGGGTTCGTTGGCACAGGCATAGACACAGCCCAATCTACCCGAAGGCCCAATTCTCATTATTCAGGCCACTATGTGTATGTCGTAAGGCGATCCGAGACGCTGCTCCAGCTCTGCCAGCCCACGTTCCCAGGCAGCGCCGAGCGACCGAAGTACCGCGTTGAACGCCGGGGCACTTGGGGTGGCCGCCTTCGAACCAAGGCTTCTAACTTCGAAGGTTTAGGGTTGGATGTTGTAAGCTTAAGTTAATTCTTAAGGCTTGACAGGGTTTGAGGGTTCGGGCTCTAGGGTTTGGCGCTTCGGGCTTTATTTAAAGGTTCAGGACAGGGGTTTAGGGCATCGGGTTCTGGAGTCTTGGTTTACGGTGCAGGGTTCACGAGGGCCCGAAGACTTCTTGAGGTGGGCCTCGTGCTCACGTCTCATTTGCAGGCTTCTCGGCGATATGTGCAGTTGTACCATAGATCCGAAGACCTATATGCAAATACTCAAGTGATATACACACATACCTGCAAGTGCGTATCCAGATGTATGTCCAACGTATATGCAGACGTAAACATGTGTGCACATATTAAATATATGTATATACATACATATGTATGTTTAAAAATATGGAAAACGTATATGTATGTGTATAATATATACACATATAAAAATAAAACACACATACATACAACCGACATACACCCTACGTGGGTTTTGCGTCGCCTGCAGAGCTGCAGAAGTCCGCCGCCACTGCGCTGCCCAGGTCAGAGCCTGCTTTCATGCTTTGAACTTCAACTTCTGACTCCGAGGCTGGACGTCTTCTGGCTGTTGCGGGGGTTCATCTAGGCTTCTTGTGCAGAGTGGCTTCAACTTGTGCTGCTTTTGGAAGGTCCCTGTGGTGCATACTGATCATCGTACGTGAAAATTCTACGGAATATGCATCGGTGCGAGTACCCATGGTTCTGCATTTGACATCTACAACCGAGGAAAGAACTGGCATCAGCCCATCGGCCCCATAGTAGTTCCTTTTTGGGGTTCATATTTAGAATCCTATAAGGTAACCCCAAAAAGGAACTACTATGGGGCATCTGGGAGCATGATGAACAGAGAAGGACAGAGATTTAAAAAAAAAGGTCCAGCAGCGTCCCACGCCTTTCGGCAAGGCTAATTACACAAAAAGCGGGTCTGTATCGATGTCCGTTTCTGCCTTCAATGCAACGCAGTTGTATGCCATGCTATTCTTATGGAGGGGTGTGGTCTGCCTTATCGACGCGGGGCTTCAAATTTGCTAGATTTTGATCTTCGAGGCAACACTTCAAGCCTCAAGAGCCAGTGCAGACCCCATTCTCATCTCGGAGATAGTAGTTGAATTCGGATACAACTGGTCAGACATAACCTTGAGGTAGCTATTGTAGTCAGATATTGATATGTACAGTAACATCGTTTTGCAACAATTATGGTTCTATCAGTTGTTCTATCCATCTCCGAAGCAACGCTCTAATTCTGCGGGCGCTTGGTCTTCTGAACTCAGGCTGGATGAAGCTGGGTGGTGGCCTGTGGTTTGGTCATGTGGCTTCATCCTCCAACCCGCGCGACCCCCATAGTAGTTCCTTTTTGGGATTACCTTATCGGATTCCAAATTCTAAACATCAACCCCAAACAGGAACTACCATGGGGCCTAGGGGTAGGGTTGCGGCTTGCGAACTCATGGATCCAGAACTCCAAGCTCCTTCATCCTGTGTCGGCGTATGCGATCAGTGCAGCAAAAAGCAGCTACGAGGGCCTACGAAAATGAGATTATGCATGTGAGCAGGTGATCAGTACACTTTGTCAAAACAGTCATACATGTATACATCTGCTTATATGCGTGCCCCTCCCAGCTGACAAGCCTGCAGCACACTGCCCTCGGCAACAGCATTCGGGACCAAGCCGTTTTGGCACCTCATCGAACTGACAATATCAGGGCTTGTTGTCCAATGCGCTGGGGAAGCTTTTGCAAACATGACGAGTTCCCAATTACCGATAGGGTCGTTGATTTCGTCCAATGAAGAAAACAGAAAACAAGACCTGGTAATGATAAGGAAGCACGGTATATTTTCAAGAAAGATCTGCGTAAGCACGTCTGCAAACGCGGCCCGTTGCAAAGGCGTCAGTTTCTTGGCTTTCAGGGCTTTCGTCCTATCGCTCCAGAAAGATCTGTGAATACATGCAACGGCCATTGCCAATATCAAGTCAAAACGCCACCATCCCTCTTCAGCGAATAAAGTCATGCTGACAATGGACACGGCAACGATGATGGTTATGACGATGGACATGCTAGAGATGATAAAGACGCGGTTGATGCTGGCGGTGACGGTGCTTTCACCATCACCCGCAGCATCTGCAATCTGCAGGATCATGCCAGCAGCAACTGCCCACAATCAATAACGCTCAGAATGTATGGTGCTCAGCTGAGCTGCAAGGAAAAGAGGAGAGAACACGGGAGCTGCCACTGGTAGCTCTTCTCGCACGCGCTGATGCACGCGCTGTAGGTGACAACGCTGGCCTGCAATGGTTCAGCGTACGAGGGCACCTACCACATCGGGAGTCAGGGCCCATGATGAGTCTAGTGATGCCGGAAGTACAAGCCTTGCTTTCACATGGCCTGGCACTGGCAGTTCCGTCAGCAATGCTGTCCCCTCTGGACCGGACCAACCCTTACACGACATTCTGGGTTGGCACACGTGACCGCTGATGCACTCGCAGACACTTACGACAAAAACCCTTGCAACAGAATGCTACAGAAATAGCCAGTAGCAACGAGAAGCCCCAAAAGAAAGATTGAACAACATGACCCCTGTAGCGGAACACACAGCCAGAAAACCTAATTCGGGAGCCTGTGACCCCAATCAGATCTCAGTCCCTACGCGACAAGCGCACAGAAGCCAAATAAGAGATCTCAGAGAGGAACGCGGAAAACCATGTATAACGTTGCGAATGGGTTTCGATGGGCGAATATGAGGGATCCTACTATTGGGATCTATATTGGAGTCCACAAATATCTGAGACCATATATTATTCACAGAAGCCAGAAAAACAGCGACAGTGCAAACTGCCGAAAATGCCACGTCTTATTTTGGCAAGCGCCCATGGCAGGAAGAAATCAAAATACACCGATCTCCTCCAATTCCAGTGTACTCTAACCGCTTCACCACAAAATCCTGCACGGCCAACAAACACCTTAACAGCAATCTCAGCTATTCCCACCCCTTTTGAACCACTTTGAGACACCACAAGATCATCAGCCTGCACGAGAATCATACTTTTATAATATTCGATTACATTACATTACATTGCCACACACTGCATTAGTCTATTCTGTGCCCAAAGTCTGTGCCACGGCGGCCTTGATGCTCGAGCCCAGCAGCCAGAGGGCCGTCGCCCAGCGGCCGGCGCCGCAGGAGGCAATGGCCGAGTTGAAGGTCACCTGTATGCGGCTTTACGGCTCGAAGGCTTTCTCCTATCTCTATTTTTACGGGATTCTAGGACGATTCTAGCAAGTTTATAGGGTGCTGGGGGAGTAGTGGCATTGGTCCATGCAAGGTGCGAGGTTTCAAAGGTTCCCTTCATAGCGCTTCCGTCATCTGCATCTTACAGCAGGTCATGGATAACCCTGAACCCCCAAACAACACATGGTCCCCGAAGCGCAGGAGCCGTCGCCTGCTGAAACGGAATGCCGTTTCGTGACATCCCACCGACTGCAGAGAGGCTGCGATGCCACTGGCTGCCTGATAGAGTACCCAGCGGCCCAATAGTAGTTCCTTTTTGGGGATTACTTTATAGGATTCTAAATATCAACCCCAAAAAGGAAGTACTATGGGGCCTATGGGTAACCCTAAGACCCTATGATGATTAAGGTGTTTGCTGAGAAAATGATACTCCAAGGCCCCTACTGATAGACTAAAGAGGAACCCCGAAGGAATGTTGAAGAAGTTCCCATATACGCCCGTCTCGTACCCCAAAATCAAATTGAACACGAAACAGGAACGCTGCATTCAAGAAGAGATTTTTTGTGTCAGTCACGCACCTGAAAGTTGCAAAACATCTGCAATCTCTTGCAAAGCTACTCGCGCCCAAGGCTGCCAGGACGGAGTTCGAAGTGAATGTGTCTGCTTGCAGACTTCGTCCCCGCACCCAGCGCCTGAGGTCAAAAAGTCTCGGGGGGGGTTCATGGCTTCTTTAGGACTTTGGGATTTAGGGTGGCTTTTTCCCGAAGCTCGTAGGCCCTTGAAGCCCCGAAACCTTGTTTGGGCTTGAGGGTTTGTGGGTCTTGAGGGTCTCAGGAATCGCCTTGAGCTAGCCGTTCAGCCCTTCGTCTGCCCTCGGACCTCACCCTCTGGCAACAGCTCCCGGAGCAATATCCGCCGAACAGTCCGAAATACTCGGGCGGGCCCTAAACCCTAAACCCTAAACCCTAAACCCTGGTTGAACAGCTTTTTGAGCCACACGCTTGAACACCATCCTTTTCAGAAAACCACAAAACGTCCAAAGGCCTACCCTGGTCTTCGCGCACCGGCGTGAATCCAACAGTAGAGGAGCCTTCTCGTTCAGACATACAGAGGCATTATATGGGACTTTCCGAAAATAAGGGGTACCTTATTTTGGGGTCCTTATAATAGGGATCCTACTATTTAAGGTGCTATATTAGGTCCCCTATTTTCGGAAACCCCCTTATATCTAGAAGCAGCATACAAGGAACCACGCACGGGTTTTACGGCCCCGACTTCATCCCCAGGGACCCCAAAATAGTTCCAAAGTTGCTTCAGTTGTTGCTTTGTCAAGGACTTTCCCAAAGTTTATTGGGCCCAATGGTAGAGATCACTCAAGCACAGTGGCAGCAGCGAAAGCGTCACAGGCCAATGCTGTGCGCAGGTGCTGAACACCGCATTGCTTGCCACAATGTTGCTTGGGGTCCCGCGGCCTGGAGCAACACACTCCAAGGCCCAGGAAACGCTACAACGCAGAAAAGCGAGCAAAGCAGCTAAATCGTCCAAAAGAAATCAGAAAGCTCCGCTTTGGACAACGGCAAGGATTTGGCAGATCCCGGTGCAAAAAGGGTTAAACTTTAGCAGGTGCCTGCTGCTCAGGGCCTAGCGTCTAGCAACAGCCACACCGACAACTTCACCTGATAATTGTACCACTGCACGGAATGGAATTGGGGATGGAAGGCCTGAAGCCACAATGCTGAATCGTAAACTAAAACCCATGGCCCGCATAATTAAATTGAATTCCTGAACCCTACAGCCGAAATCCTGCAATGTGGACGCACTCGAATCACTCCAAAGCAGTAAGTCCAGGCTGCTTGCCACTTGCACCATCAATGACAGCGCAGCCGACCAGCCGTGCAGCGCAGCATCCTTGTCTGGGGGAAGGTTCTTGGGTTTGATTATACCACTACCTTGCATGGATGCTACCCGATTGTTGTTCTTCGCATACTTCCACAAGATCTTCGGTAACAACGGCCACCGATCTCTTTTTCACGATGCAGGCTTAGGGGATATGTTTACACCTGGGCCGCAATGGCCACGGAAGCTGTTACACACAATTGTTCCGGGGCAGCCGCTGACTGCGGTGGTAGTGGTGGTGGTAGCAGTGGTAATTAGTGGTAGCAGTATGTACAGTCGGCGTCGTCGTCGCGGTGGCTGCGAGTGTTGCTGCAACAAAAACCTGTCATCAGTTGCATGTGGATGGTTGTCAAAATTAGGGTCCCTTTTTGGGTACCCTAAATATAGGGTGCCGTATTATATTATGGACCCCAAAAGGAACCCTAATTTTGACAACCACCCATGTGGATGGACACATTTAAGGCCGGAGGACGGAGATGGTCACGGTTGCGGGTTTGAGCTTTGGGTTTGGGGAGTCGAACTTTAGCGTGAATAATTAGAATAGGGGTTTGGGGGGTATATTATACTATAATTGTAATAAGGAACCCCCAAAACAATGTAGGTAATTAGCGTAGACAGCTCTGGGTCTTTGAAGCGAAAGCGCTTGCCGTGACGGAAGTGCTTCTGGGGTGGAAGACAGGCCGTTCTCGTATTCGCTGACATCCTGACTCTTGGCCCCTTCTGTAGCATTGCCAGAAAGGGGTTGCAGCCGACTGATTATAATGTTTAGGGACATCCCGTGCTGGTACACTCTTATTGTCTCCCAGGCACCAAGGCAGTGACAGCCGCGGACTGCAGGAAGGAATTCTGCTCCAGGCGCGCAGTTGGCATGCACCCAAACAGATGCACCGCATCCTTTCGCAAGATGAGGAGAACAACCTCTGGAACATCTCTCCACAAGAAGGCCTGACTGTCTGCGTGTGCACATGCTGCATACCTTGCCAGAGGCGAGGGCCACGACCCTTCACGTTTAACCCTCCAGAAAGTCCTGCCAGCCCTCACGGGAAGCGGCGCAGGCCGCCAGCGCCACGCCGTAGGTCCGCTCGTTGGCCGCCAGGGCCACAGCAGCAGCTCCGCGGAACCTTCTGAAACCCGCCCCGTTTGCTCATATGCTTGCTCTGGTTGGAGTTCCACATGGTTCCAAAGGGCTGAACAGGGGTGTTTTGCCGGGCTTCAGGGTTCAGGGTTCCAAGTTGTAAGTGTCTGGAGCTTTGGGGTCTTCGGCGCTGACACGAGGGTTTAGGCTGTCTGAGGGCATAGATCTTTGGGGTTTGGGGGCCCTAAAGGCCTCTCCGGGAGCTCGAAACCCTATGAATCCTAAAACCCCACCACCTATTTCTGGCCTAAAATTAAGGTAAGGGCCTTCATAATTAGAATAGGGTTTTGGGGGTATATCATACTCTGATTATATGCCAAAATAGTATAGGTAGCAGCGTCTACATTAATGATATGTGGCAGCATTTAAGCACAGCCACAGGGAGAGTGTTCGCTGCCACTGCAGGGCTTGCAGCACCGCCTTGCAAGCCGCAGTGAGGCAAACGACGTCCACGGCCACGGAATGAAGACGAAGCCTGCACAGGTCGTGGGGAGGCGATAGACATGCTTCAGTTTCGTGAAAGAATATCTGAGAGCTGCTAGTGTTCCTCACTATCTGGTGATTCGCCTTTTAAGCCATTGTGCATCCTCAGCCCCACATCACAGCGAAGGTGCCTTTGCAAGGTGCCCATAACCACTTGCCAGTCAGTGCAATCTGCGACCAAGCGGGTGGCTTCAAAGACCGTCAACTTGTCGTGGACTCGGATCGGCGGAAGGAGGGTGCAGGGTCTGGGATTTGGGGTTTGCGTTCAGGTCCTCTTCGCCCCTATATACTCGAAACGGCGTCCAAGTCCCGTGGGGCCTTGGGGTCTTTAAGGGCTGCATAGGTGTGCTGCGGGGCCATCAGCTTACCGTCCCTCTCCCCAGCTTTCTGCTCTCTACCCCAAGTACCACAAACCAGCAATCCTCCAGTTCATGCTGCGATTCAGGGTTTATCGATTGCAAACAGGCTGAGGACCGCGTACCCACAACCACCGCCCTGAATGCTGAACCGCTCAGACGCGCTGCCCTGGGCATTTCTTTGCCTCTCCCAGATACAGGCTTGGGCCGATGTCATCGCTTTGGCCTGAAGCTGGGGCTTAGAATCTCAACATTTCTCTTTTTAGAATTACGGACTTATGCCGAGATTGGGTCGCGAAGACAGCATGGCTTCATGGATCTCTAGTATGAAGCTTTGGGAACTACTGCAAACTCTGGAACTCCAAGAAAAGATACATAAACAGGAAAGGACCTAGAATCCGAATCTCGCAGTTGTTCGCGGGCTTCTGCGCAAGAGCCTTCGGGACTAGGTCACTCTTGCTTTGAAGACGGGATCATCTAGAAATTCCATTCAGACTTCATCAACAGTGCACACACACGACAAACTATGGTATCAAAACACTGTCAGGAACCAAGAAAAGGGAAGTCATCTAACACTCCAGTCCAGTATCCCGTAGCCGAAGCATGGAGGCTTCGCGGCTTCCCTCAAGTTCTAATATGCGTAGACGCAATAGCCCCACTACAGGTGTATTGAGAAGTTGCTTGTAGAGGTAACTCTTTCCTGCTCCCTGAATTGCACACCACGCTAGCACTCTAGTCAGACCTGGCGAGTGGGGCGGTGAAATCCCACGTTCATGGCTTCTGCCCTGCCTTTGGGAAGGTTTAGGGATTCAGGGGCGCATCGTGCTGGATCCATAAAGTTTAGAGATTCTGTGTCAAGACATTGGGGTCAAACCTTGGATTCATGGAAGGAAAGAGCTTTCGGTGGCATCCCCCCGCATTTTGCTCGAATCTGGGGCGTGGGTTGCGAGCCTCAGCTTGAACCAGAGCAGCGGAACCGCGGCAAAGCAGAATTTCATGTTCAGGGGTATCGGTAGGAGGTTCATATTGTCGGCTTGACTGGGTGTTCTACCCTTAAGTTTTGAGGGTTAGGGCCCGAGGGTGACTGTCTGGGGATTTAAGTATAGGGTTGCAAACTCCTGTGTTGAATATGTGGGGCATTCTCTGAGAAAGGCCTGCCTCGAGGTGCTGCTCATCTTTTGCCAAAGCAAGAAACCACCTGCCCTACACTCTAAACTCTTTTGTTCAGGACTTGTGCAATCACTTCCATACCTTGTTCAAGAAACTCGTGGGGACCACCTTGAAAACACACAGGTGCAATCGCCTGAATGCTAACCCTATAAATCCTAAACCTTTTTTTGAGCAGGGACTGCAATGCACTAAATCCTAAACTCTAACCCTAAATCCTAAACCCTGACCCTAGCAACCTCTTCTATCCCGACATCTAGACTCACAACATGCGGAGGCTGAGACTCAATAACCCACAGACCCTACAAAACCCACCCTCAGCTGCCTAGGCTTATACTAAAACCATCCCGAAAGCGCAAAAAGCCCTAAGAACACCCCTCAAAACCTCTTCGGGCACTTTGACCCCCTATTCTTCTTCGCATTCTTGCTATTATGTACATATGTATACCAATCATCCTGAGACTCTCAAGCATCGATTCCACTTCTCATTTTAGTGCTCATGACCAGTAAACACTTTTGCTGCAGGCACCCTAAACCCTTAAACCTTAAACCCTAAACCCCTAAACCCTTAACCCTAAACCCTTAAACCTTAAACCCTAAACCCTAAACCCCTAAACCCTTAACCCTGAACCCTAAACCCTAAACCCTAAACCCTAAACCCTAAACCCTAAATCCAGTAAAAGTGCCATGAAACCCCCAACTTCCCCAGCTCCTGGGTTTCCGTTTGGAAGTGCCCGGGGAGCCGAGCGGTGAGCTTGGGCCAGAAGAGGTCTGGAGCTTCGGAAGAAGGGGGCTTTAGGGTTTTAGGGTGTTAGGGTTTTAGGGTTAGGGTTTAGGGTTTTAGGTTTAGGGTTTAGTTAGGGTTTTAGGGTTTTAGGTTTAGGGTTTAGTTAGGGTTTTAGGTTTTAGGGTTTAGGGTTTAGGGTTTTAGGGTTTTAGGATGTTTTAGGGGTTTAGGGCCCTTTGGAGGGCCCTTTTGGGGGATTTTTTTGGGGGTTCGGGGGTGGGGGTTCGTTTTTTTTTGGTGGCTTTAAGGGTTAAGGCTCTGAGCGTTTCAGAAGAATGGAGTTCTGACGCTCACTCTCGGACTGTGCCGGGCAAGAAAGGGGTTTAGGGGTGTTTAGGGGGGCTCCAGGTTGCGCACCCGAAGCACCTTATTAGAGGTCCTGATAGACACTTGCCAGGGGGTCTGAGAGGCTTGGCAAGTAGAGGGTATAGGCGACCTCCACCTCTGTGGGTAGGTTTATGGTGCTAGAAATCTTTGGAGAAGGGTTTGGGAATGCGGTCTTGGAAGGTTTTTAAGGGGGTTTAGATCAATTTGGTCCTAAGCTGGTTGTCACGATGTAAGGCTCTGGGGCTTGAAGCCATTAGTCTCCAGGATTTAAAAATCTCTTTCGCAGCCTTTCCGAGGCCGGTCGTGTCAGGGGTGTATAAGTTTGAGAGCAGATAGTCAGAACGGAATCGAAGCACTGGATACCCCAAAAACCCTGTGAAGCCGGTGGAAAATGCATACGCAAGTGGAGAGCGAAATGAATATGCAAAGAATGTACTGGTACGGTGTGTATGTGGTATACAGGCACACACATGCACACACATGTACACCCTCAACCCTCTCATATCCCTTGAAACCTTAAACCCGCCCTCAACCCTGTACCCCGAGTCGTCAATCCTAAATCCCGAACACCGAAATCTCTTGGCCCCCAAACGCTAGTCCACGAAATCTCCGAGTCCCTACGCCTCAGATTCCTCAACTCGAAACACGAAGCCTGAAACCTTCAACAAACCCGAACTGTCAACCGCCATGAACCCTGAATGCTTGGAAACCGCAAACCCTGAATCCGATTACATACTAAGCCTGTAGCAGTAGCCCACATACTCAGAAAGACAGACGGATGGACGGACGGATAGCCATGCATGCATATGCACGTCCATCCATGCATACCCCCACACACACACACCAAACAACGTCACATCAGAGCAGACCAGGCCAAGCACGGCACGCAGCACAGAAGAGCAAAGCAGAGCAGAGCATGTCCTAACATAACATGGCAAAACATAACCCGCACGCGCACACACACACACATATGCATGCACGCATGCACGTATGCACGCAGAACGAAACTGTGGAAAGTAGGAGTAGCTGAGTAGCAGCTTTATCAGGCTGCATAATGTCAATATGCCTTAAACGAATGACGCCTAGAACAATAACAAGCTGTTCCCACTCACCATAACAACAAGCATTATCCGTGGCAAGAACAGTGCCAACCAGATGAGCATCAGCAGATATTCCACGGTTGACAAGTATCAGGTCAAAAACCGAGCCAAAATAAAGACGATGAGCAAGAGTAGCGACAGGCACGGCAAACACGTACTGTTCTTACAAGTATCGATCATATGGGTAGTTCTCTAAATTAGGCTCCCACTTTAGGTCCCCAAAATAGTACGGCACCCTGATAAAAGGGACCCCCAACAGGGACCCGAATTCTGAGAACTACCCATATGGCCCGAAAGCGAAGACCCCAACAAGAAGCGGCCTGCGAATTTCTCCGCAGCGTCGGGGGCTCAGTGGAGGCCTCCAGGCCTCTCGCCGAAAAAGCGTGAGGCTTAGGGCTTACGCTGGGGTTTCGGGTTTAGGGTTTAGGGTTTAGTTGTTTCTACGGGTTGTTAGGTTTTGA